CTACATAAGGAGCTTGGTAAGGAGCATCCTGTCTTGATTTGTGAATTGCGGTCATAGTGAAGGCCAAAATATCTTCTTGCATCATCACCAAAACATGAAGCAATGAGCACTTACACTCTTTGCATAGAACTTGCTTCTCTATCATCACATTCATGCATAAACATACTTTAAATGAATGCTTGTAGGAACACATGAGGAAGTGAATCCCACTAACTGCAAAGTGAGCTAGCTAAACCCACGAAGCTCTGACATTTAAAAGCCTACTAGCATCCATAAAATACTTGAAGATTGACTCTCTTAATTAGGAAAACTCTGCATTAATTCTGGCCATTAGCTGTTCTTCAGTTCGGAATAAAAATAACAATAAGGATTATAAGTGACCTTTCAGAAATCATACAAATGTCAGTTGGTTTCCATGAAACTCCATGGTTCCCTAGCTCAAATTTTGGCTCCTCTGATATAACAAAAAGTTTTTCAGAACACAAAGCCAGACATTTCCCATGATAAGGAAAAAAAAAAGTTGCAGTGAGAGAAATCTGGGATACCTGATCCGAGTGTACATTAGCAGATTTTCTTATCTGGGAGATGCACTGCTTTTAGCCTTAAAAATGCAGAACTGAATCATGCCTGAGCTGCAGTTACAAGGGTTTTAGTTTCATTCTCCCACCATGACTTCTGTAGTAACCACAGAAGGCAGCTATTCAGTTTCCTCTCCATGCACCTGCACCAAAGCTTTGGAAACCAGTAGATAATTTTGATTGTATTTGACAGAAACAGACTTCAGAAGTTACTAGATGCCAACAGGCAGTCTGTAGACTACATGGCCTGGCCCCACCAAGTCATGTCCCTTGGACTGAGGATCTGGATTGGAGATGGAACTGGAACTGAGATCCTGAATTTGGCTTGCCCAGTGAGTTAGTAGCAATGACAAACCTACTAACTGCTGACACGGCACATGATTGAAGAATAGAGAGGAGATGGATGGGGGGAAGACTGAAGGTGCTGTGGTATGAGCAAGGGTAGGAAATGCCAGAAGAAAGGACGAAGCTGAGGGAACGGTGGTATTGCCAGACAAGACAATACCACGGGAAATCAGTCTTCAGAGCTCTGCAGTTCACAAGATAAATTAACAAATGGTAGGTAAATTAACAACTCCTAGGTAAACGTTACCTGCTCGCTTTAAGGAAGTACCTATTTCACCTTACTGGATTGCTGAAGTAAAAAACTGAGAAACCAAACGCTCTGGAACTGAGCAACAACGTTTATGGTTCCCTAGGTTTTCCACATGAGGACAAGGCTTCACAGCAGTCCAAAACATAACAGTATCAAGCATCTCTTGCCCAAACACTTGCCAAGAAGTTAGCAGTCCTCTAGTAACATCTTCTCAGCCTCCGTAATAAGTTTAAAGCTGATACTCTTTAAAGCCAAACTCAGCTCCCAAGCAAGCCTTGCTGGGACCCATAACTGTGTGTGGTCTCTGCCACATTCTTCTATTGTAGCTTGAACAACTCCCATTTCTACACCTTTTGTATTCAGTGTGGAGGTGCCCTCACCACAAACACCAGCTGCCTTCTCCAGCTCAGACATCAGCCATCCTCACCTTCTGTGCCCACTCCTTCCCAAGGTAACTCTACTATCCATCCCACCAGGTAAGGGTTCTGCTATTCTGCAAATGCTGACAAAAAGCATTTGTCACAAGATAACTTTACTATGAACTGATATAAAGGACCCAAGACCACAAGAAAACGGTTTTACCCCTCCCACCCTTCCAACCACTAAATTAATCTTGGAAGAGCATATATAGCTCTGTATATAGAGTGTCCTTTTTAAACTCAGAAGAGTTCACTAACCCATCTCCTCCCTATCCCAGAAAATGAAGTTGGTCCCACATAACTTTGAAATAGTTTGATGCAAAACCTAGCTCATTTTGAGCACCAGGCAGGAAACACTGCATATGAAAGTTTGCAGCTAAATATCTGAATGAAGGTAGCCTCTGGTATGACAAAACTAATCCATCATAGGACATCTAGAGCAGAAGGTATTCTACTGGCTCCTGAAGAAGTTAAGCTGCCATACTTTGAGCATGAACGGAAAAAAGCTTTAACTGGAGCAAGAGATCAGGACGCCACGTTGGCTGTAAGTACCTTTATAAAGCAGATGTTTGCACTCTTGTATGATGTACATCAATAGCTCAACCTTTTCACTGGTGAACACAGTCTTAAATCAAAGCCAAGTGGTCAAAGTACATGCACTGATCTTTACAAGATGTGGGTGAGGCTGAGGCGCACCTTGTGCTGCAACGTGAGCCGGCACTTCACAGCCAGCCGCTGCATGAGCCCTTGCTGCAGGACACTGCCAAGAGTCTGTCCTGGGCTTGTAACATTCTCTTCAGGAAATACCCGAAGTGCCATGACGCTTGAGTGTACGATTTGCACCAGTGCTGTAAGCTAGTAACTTGGAATCTCTGGAAAAAATTCTGAAGTTTTTAATTTGTACGCTATGGCTCACTGTGTCCACCTCCCAGTCCATGCTCAATATACATTTGGTGTGAGAAATACCCCACTGTAGAGATTTCAAGAAGCTGCTTAGTTTAACATTGCAAGAAGACTGTTCCCCCTTGAAATGAGGGAAGACAAGTAAATTTCTTAAACCAAAATATTGTGTTTAATAAACCCCCAAACACTGACATTCAGCAGACACTTTCTAGACCACCTTAGTAGCTTCCCATAGTCATCTCACTACACTGCACTGAACTTCCTTCTTTCCTTGCTAACAGCACCTCTCCAATAATAACCAGGTCAGAACTGCACAGCTTCCTCCCCATAACAGTCTGTAAAAAAATCAGCATATCATGAGAAAAGCCTTGTCAGTGCAGATTGTCAAGTTTGTTATGATCGAAAGCATCAATTACAAAATATGACCTTAAACATACATTCTCATTTCAGGACATAATAAAAAGTATATTTTATTGACACTCTTGAAACAGCTCACTAGAGAGAAATGACAGTATTAAAAGAAAAAAAAAACTAAAACAAAGCTCTAAAGCTTCTAGGTTGCATTCAGTGTAAAAACTTGGAGGTATAAACAGAAGCCTGGAGTAAAAATATTAAGTACATTTCCGATCCCACAGTGCAGAAAACCAGTAACAATGGTATTTACTCTACATTAGAAGTGTTCCCATGTTCATTTCCACATAGCTCTTCTATATAAACTTCTGATAACTTATGTACAAATAAGATGTCCAACATCTGTTCTTTAATATAAATATGTAATCTTGACTGAAACATTACAACATTTGATAAAAGTATAGAAAAATCCATTTAATAATTTTTCTAATGACAACGTTTAAAAAAAAACACCCTTGAACTCAAATGATGTTTAAATGATAGCTATTTCTTCACCTTAAAAATGCATTCCCCATTCAGCATGCAAAGTATTATTGCATATATAAGTCACATGAACAACAAGTCTGAAGGATATGGGCCGGACAGCCCATTCTAGCAAGTGCTGTAAGATCATATGTATCTCAGCAGAAAGTAAGTACTAGTGTATTTTTAAATAAAATGCTAAAAACTCAAGTATTGTCCTCACACTACTAAGACTTAAGGCAATCAAGAGCTGGGAAGCTTCAGTTTGGCATAGTTGCATTAAGCTCTCCCCCTTTCCCCATTAATACATTTATTTTAACATACTGAAATTTAGACAGCTGCTACCAAATTTTTGCTATACATACTAATACAACTCAGTGTGAAGTGATTAATCAGTAACCTACTTTAATATCCCCAATTACACTGAGCTGATCTAATTTAAGCAACAGTTTCTCCAGCAGCTAAGTTTTCCAGCATGGATTTGTAAATTGGTATGAGAACAGAAAAAATATTCACTGTCTACCCTCAGTGTAACATTTTATGACTTGCATCCATTCTTGGAGTACTCTAGAATTTAAGCGTTCAAAATAGATTTGACAATCAAATAATAATTAGCTTTACAAAGGATAATTATTTGCAGTAAAAATACTTTATATATATATATATAAACATACACACAGTAGATCAAAGTCAACAGGCATTTCTTTATGGCTTTTTTCACTGAGGTACTGTTAACACATCCAGCGACAGGATGCAAGTGTTCCTACAGTATGAATGCCACATTCATAAGCTGTACCACCAACTCATGACAAGTGGCAACAGACTACAAATCCAGCTTCACTGCAGGATTACAGAAAAAGTCTTCCCCTCTCTGTGGAGGGTCTCAGTGCAAGCTACAGAAAGCCCCAAAGGCAACTGGCATCAATGGGGAAAGGATAAATGGGAGTCTCACTCTATTAAAAGGACTGAAAATACAGTCAGACCATTTCTTACAATTGATAGCAAACAGTTGGGACTTAATATTCCAAGGCAGCAAAGGCATATAGCACGGCAGCCACACAGTAAGACTTGAAATGTGTAGTTAAGCTCTTGCATCTGATCCTGAAGGTAAGTGCATGCACAGGCTTAGAGCAGCCAAGCTGCTGTTGTAGTACCACACAAGGTGAAGTGCTGCAAGCCAAAGATGAATACGGTCAGGAAAGATGAGGCTGACAAGTACATGATGTCAGCTGATGCCACAATAGACAGAAGATCTCTGGTGACAAGTTTATTCCTCAGCTGTAAAAAGCTTATCTGTGAATGCACACTTAGTTGCACCTTTCCCTATCTATTTTAGATGAGGGGGAAGTGCAGCTCCTATCCTAGTACTCTTCGCACAAGAGGAAGAGGGTTTTGTGTTAAGACAGCAATTGTTGCTGTATGCATTTGGTATTTCACCTTTACATCAGAAAACGTCTTTACTTGTTTTCATTGCTTAAACAAAGTGGCCATATGGCTACTCCAGCATAGACTTCTGTTTTTATTACACCTATGCTAAAAATGTGTTTCTGTGATAAACACCGTTAGAGTGAAACGGAAGTTCAAAGTATGCTCAGTTAATCATGGCAACTAGTTCTTTCTAACCAAGGTTCTCTTTATCCCCATGCACTCTTTAAACAGGCTGCAGATGCTTGAGTGAGTTCCTTATACGATGATACAGCACATCATTTATAACTCAGCATTTAGCTGTATACAATTCATACTCTAATTGGTATACACTTTATGACATATCACCACTCAGATCAACAAACTCATCATCCCTCTTGACCAAGTCATCTTCATCTTCCAAGTCCTTCCAGGTGCTAGTGGGTAAAGCTGGTTTGACAGACTGTCTCTGAAGTAAAGCAAATGGAAACAAGGATGACAAACGTGCAGAATTTCTCAGCACTGGAACAGAATGTACATCTCTGGAAACAGCTTGACTGCGTTCCTCATCCATTTTTACCTGCAAGCTTTGCACTTCCTCCATCAAGTCCAAGATCTTGGCAGCTGTAGCTATTGTACCACCACCATGAAGCTGGGCTTCAGGAATCCATCGTAAATACCGTTGTGCCCAGACTTTGATTTCAGGGCCATCAATGCGAGGTAACAGAAGACCATGATAGTCAACAGGTTTACTATGCCAGCTATCATAAAATTCCTTGAAGCTGTTAGGACATTCATCTGAAGAGTTTATGAACTTGCCAATTCTTTTACCCAGAATGTTTTTAATTAAATGATCTGTTTCCTCCCTGAAAAATCCTCTCTTCGCAGAAGATTTTGTTTGTGTCAATGGCAAAGAAAGTTGTCGTTGATGCTTTGAGAGAAAAGAAATACACTGAGATAAATATTGATGAGACTTCAGAAAACATCTTAAGAGGAAATAAACTGACTTGTATTCAGAAAATACAAGCAGCAAAGTCACTTAAATACAGACTACTGCTTTCTTATATAGTCTAAAACTGCTACTCTTCAGTGTCCGATACACCAAATACTTCACACAGCATACTTAGTATTCCCAGATACCTTCCCTGCACTGTAACAATGAAGTAACACTGAATAAACCATTTTTCTTTGAAAAAGCAGAACTCTTTGCATACATTCAAGTATTACAGACTTCCATGTTTAGTTTAAGCTAGCCACACAAATCAAAGAGCACTTGGTTCCAGTGGTTCCTTATTGTACCCCACCACAAAAGTACAAATTAAAAAAACCCCCAAGCTCACAGCTATGCACAGTAATTGTAAAACAGCGATTTGTAGCTGAGGTGAGTGCAAATTGTATTCTTAAGATCCAGGGGAGTCTGCGGTGTACATGTATTTTCTCAATTAAAAAACTTTGCACCAATACTTCACTGTGGGTACATTTGAAGTGTGAGTTGTGCAAAATATTTCTATCTTTAAAAAATATAGTTAAGCAGCACATATCTTACTTTGAATCGTGCAGTTTTCCGTTGACTTTTTTCTAGTTTTGGCTTCTCTGCATAAAGAGGGTTGCTCAGGAAAGCCTGGGCCTTGAGATCAAACTGCACATACCAGTCCCACACAGTAAGAAATCTGAAAGGACCCCTTTGTGTCTTGAGGCTTTCACCACTCTGCCAAAACAAACAGGTCACAATTAATACTGCTAGAAAGGAATTCTGACCAAGTTAAGGTGAAATTAAGAAACTGGCTTTTCACAGAAGGAACCATAGAATTGCTACACTCATGATTTCTACGTATTCAGTAGCTGAACAGCTTTATTGGATGCAAGTACGTACAGACACAAAGCCTATCTATATGTTATTCCCTCTAACTTCCATTTCAACAGTGTAATTAGCACAGAGTATGCCTTTCACAGTTGTAAGTAAGATTAAATAGCCTAAAGAGAAAAATAAAGTTTTGAAAATTGGGCAGGAGACAGACACTTGAATTATTCAAACACAGGACACATTAGGATTGTGGAATAAATCTCTTCAAACTTCAAAAGTTAATTGCAGTTACACAGTACTACTGGTTTAAATTTCACAACCAACACTTTATTTCTATGCAGACAGTGGTCTTCACTTTTTTTTTTCAGTCTTTACAGCCATGCAGAGATACTCCCACTGCTTCCAGCTTCTCAGGCTGGAGAAAAGTATGAAGCAGGTATAAATCAACATTCAGGAAATGTTGATCTTGGAATACAATAGAATATACTATACAAGACTTTTGTAGATAATTTATTCTGCAGGACAGCAGGATATTCCTTTTCAGTTAGGAAGCTCCATTTTCACTGAAGAGCAATAAACATGAACCTGTAGATAGCTACAGCTACATTACAAATAATATATTTTTAAGTTATTTTCCTTTTTTCATCATAAATTCTTAAATCCTGAACTTGACTCCTTACACCCAAAGTTGCACTCATTCATCCTTTAAATAAGTATGGAAAAACACACTGCTAGGGAACTGGCTTTTTTGTTTGTTGTTTGGCTTGTTTGCTGGTTAAAACCATTCTCCAGCACATTGCATACACAAAATAACAAACCCTTACCGTGTCTTTTTGATGTTGGGAGTTGAAGAAGAAAGTGCTAAAAATAGGCACATAGAGGCTGTCTGACAAAACAGTTAAGTAAGTTTCTGTGAACTCAAATGCTGGAGGATACTGTTGTACCAACTGCCAAACGCAATTTAGCAGGAGCAGAAAAACAGGAGCCTAAGTAAAGAAAATATTGCATCTGATTCAGAAAAAAATATGTTTCACCTTGCAGACTATTTATTTTACAGTATTTAGTGTCTCCAAATACAAATCTTCAGGAAAGCAATCTGGGTAACTACAGAACTGCTGCAATTGCTGACAGAAGAGATGAACGCTTTCTGATCTGAATCTGCACGCACTATCTTGCTATGAAATTTGCTGCTATGCAGCCTTTTAAAGTTGGCAAAACAAAACTAGTTTTCAGTTTACACTTAGGCTTTCCATTCTGTATAGCATTCTGATCCATTCCCAAAATATAAACAAAAAAGGAGGTGAGACTGCAACATTTAGCAAGACAGTACAAAGTTACTCCTGATGTGACAAGAATACGCAATTCACTGGAGTTATTTCTACAGACTCTACTACCATTTAACACAGTTTAAAAAGAGATATGTCTTTTAAAAGACTCCAAGACTGAATGGGAAATGTTACATTTGTTCTCTTTAGCTATAAAGAAACTGCTGAACTCTGCACAGCAAAAACAGCAACACTGTACAAAACATCAAACTATAAAACAAAACAAAATTAAAGATCCTCAAGAGTAACTGGAGCTTCTGGACTGACATCTAAATCCCTCCTTGTTCTGACTAAACATTTAAATATAGTAAGGAAAGTAAAACAAAAAAAAAAATCATACCTCCTCTTTGTCACTTTTATGTAAGTGGTTACAACGATCCAAAAAGGCATGTCCTCCAATTACCCATTCCTTCTGAATAAGGCTCTGAAACCCTGACTTTGTTCTGCTGTACGAATCCATCATCACTTGAACCAGAGTAGAGATTACACAGCACAGATCAGTAGCACTCTCTTCTACAGAAAAGAACAGAAACCACGTTGTCTACTAAGCCATTCCTAAAATTTTGGGTAAGAAAGCAAAAGTATTTCTAGCTTTACATAAACAAAACTGTATTTCAAGATCAGAGAATCACACAATTTCTTGCAAGTGTTGTACCATCAGAGAGAAGTTAACCCAAGTTTCCAGGACTTCCTTTTGTAAAAATACAAGGTTTCTTGTACGCTTATTCTAGGATAACACTTTGACAATAAAACCTACAAAACCTCAAGCTTTTACTAGTGTAAATTTGATACCTATGCCCTCCCACAATGCACATACTGCAGCTCCTGCCCTATGCTACCAGGCCAGCTATCTGCCCTTACCCTTCCTATCGTGCATGCACCTTTTCACAAGGTGTGAAATCACCTCCTCATGCAACATGCATCCTTCACCCTTCAGGTGCCTTCTAGACACGTCTCTTCCCCATGCTAGGTTTCGCAAATGGCAGTGTGGAAAAAAACCCCAACTAAATTATTAATAAAAACAACAGCTTAATGGTTAACATTTAGTCTGGTTTTCCATCCAATTACTTTACTCAGTCTAGGAAAACAAACTGCTCAAGATGTGTACAGTAAGTGTATTTTTATTAAAGGGACTACATTGTATTAAGAATGTACCTAGAACATAAAAACATCCTGTTAGAAAATTTTCATGTTCTGTTCTTTGTTCAGGTGTTCCCCCTCACTCCCTTGAAGTACAACAAAAGGTTTAGGAGACTTTTATTAAAAAAAGCTAGAAAACAGGAATGCATAAACAAGAGGTAGCATGACTCTCCTGCCAATTTATCGGCAGCTTTCTCATTCAAGACATGTTTCTCTTCGCCTGGAACTACGCTAATAATGTGTTTTTTCACTACAGGAAGGATTTCCAGGAGTGCAAGAGATTCAGGGTGTCTGGTACTTAGAGTACTCTATAAGTTTTACCAGCCTCTAAAACAATTATAAAGTTACAGCCTAAACTACATCTAAAGAAATTCAAAATAAAATTTAAAAAATATATAGGAAAAATCTCATTAAATTCTTACCTATAAGGAGAACATTTGTATGCTGTCTTTCCAGACACTCAGCAACTTCTATTGCTTTCTTCAAGACTCGCCTGTGGTGGTACACAGGAAAAGATAAGAGAACATTTTCATGGTGTTTTTGCCATCAAGTTTTACATTAGTTTCCCCTAAAAGGGGTCAGAATGTCATACTACTGAAACTTAACTAGTCCTTTAAAGCAAAAAAAAATAAATCCATGCTACACCTGTGTAAATGAAGAACTGTTGAGCCTCAAGAGCAAACTTTCAAGAGGCATCTTTATTTAGCCATTTGTCATGCATTTCCAGTTATCTTTGTACAATTGTAATACAAGACTTTATTCTGGATCAATAGCAGCCATCACACACAACCCCCAAAATATTACAACTGCTAAGAGCCAGATCTCTATCCTGGAAAGAGGCAACATCCACTACACTTACATTCTAACCTACTACATTTCTCCCATAATCTTTCTGTGTTTCTATAATCTGGTTTTAAGAGGCAGAGGGAAGGATCAGCAATCAGATCTTGTCACCATGAAAAGAAAACTTATTCAGATATTATCACTGCACAAGGAAGGCAGACTGGCATTAAAGATCACATAAAACCAGATGTAGCACTGCTGGTTTCTAGACCTAACTCTTCATAAAGTTAGTAATTTTCAGCAAAACTTTGCACAGAAATTAAGATTCTTGAAAATTCTTAGGTGACTAACAGAAGCTGATAGATTATTTCCTAAGCGTGGAGCTGTTGGATTCTTTGTTCTCGTATCTAGCATAGCTGAGAAGGCATTCCTCCCATCTGCAAGAGCCAAGAACAGGCTTATCCAGGAAGCAACCAGATCCAAGTATGGAAATGACCAGACTCAAAACAACATAACGGCAGGAGCTTGGTCTAGCATTTACTTTGAACTACTTGTAATCTTGGTTATGTCAATGCATTTCTCAACATAAGATCTTCACTAGAACCTCTCGATCAACATACATTTAAATTCTGGATTAAGGAACAAATAACTGCCAATATTTACTGATTTTTATTAAGATTAGAAAGAACTGAGCCTGACTGCAGAAGCACTTCAGGGTAACACACTGATCACAGAATAAACCAGCAGACAGAGCTACCACAACGTAACACCAAAAGCAAATAAAAACCCTCAGCATTCCACTACAACAAGCCTTAAGTTAGCCAACACCATTCCAACACTTACTGTGGACTGCTGAGAGAAGAAAAAAGAACTTGAGGAACAATCAGGAGAGGAAGGGGACAAAACTGAGAACAACTGTCTTTTTATAAATCTTTGGTGGGCTAATATCTTGAACACTGCAGTTCATCCCGTCCTAAAGGATATTACAGAAGTAGAGAGTACAGAGAAGAACGGCAAGGCTAGTCAGACACGGAATAGGTTTAATGCAAGAAACAAACAGGATTCTTCAGTTTGGAAAGAAGGTGACAAAGTGCAGGAGGGAAATTACTGGATCTATAGTTTTAATAGGTTTGCTGGAAAAGTCGAAATTGGAATGATCTGCCGCTTCTCACACCCTTTAATATAGGAGGGTTAACACAAGCCTGCACTGTAAAAATACTGTTTCAAGTTATATAGATAATATATACGTAAGAGGGAATATAAGTCTGTCTTAATTTTATTTCCCACGAGAGGTGAAGAATGTAGTCACATCTCAAGAAACTCAGTAGGAAACCTACTACAAATGCATTTAAACAGCAATCTGAAACCCAGAAAGTTAGTTATAGCAAACCTGATTATCTCTAGCCAGTTTGTGCTCTCCAGCAATGAAAACCATTTCACATCAGTTGCCCAGAAATCTGCACTGTTATCTGCAAGAAACCAAAATAAAAAACTGGTTTGTTCACATAAATGTAGTGCTAATAAACAGCCATCCATTATATTACTCTTCAGTTATGAACTGTTATTAAACAACCAATCCCAAGGAGTCAGTAAATCCTAATCGCTGTTAAAGTCAACACCCTGCAACTAAATAAGGAAGTGAAGTAGTCCAACAAACACCAGTAAAGTTCCACAGCAACGCAGGCTTTTAGAAAAAGTATGCTGTAGGTTCACAGCAACCAAATAAAGTAATTCTGTTGACAAAATGGGAAAGGAAAAGAAGTTTAATCAGAGGAGATGGTTCTTCCAAGTTCTACTTGTCTTGACTCTAAAGCACAGTCTACGCAAAGCTTAACATAGAAGGCTGGATTCTGAACGTCATCACCATGAGCCAGAAACATGAATGGGTTTTAGGAGGGGGTTACACAAATTTATGGGATGTAAGACTACCTGAAAAAGGTTTTAAACAGTTTTCACTGCAACTGACCAGGCACTAAAATACATCAAAAAGCAAACCGCTAAGATAAACCAGGAGGCCAAGTACAATACAAAGTCATTAAACTCTTAAAAATTTCACTAGGATTTTTGTAGCTGGTTAAAACCAACCTACATCTCTATTGCTTTTATTTCTATCAAAGCCTGTATTCAGAAATAGGGAAGCTCTTGTAAGCTGATATAGTCAATTAAAACCAGAATTGATTACCTTCCCTTGTAGAAGACAAACATTGAGGCCCAAGGTCTACGACATTCCTACTATTGGGAAACAACTGAGTTACACCACACTTTCCTCACTCTCTCCTTGATAGCTTCAGTTCTGCATGTTTCTGTATAACTTCTTTTCACCTCCCAAAGTCTCTCCATATGCTTCCACTGTTTACTTCAACACACACACACTTCTGTCTTGTTTTCTGCAGCTTGCACCTATGATCCTTCAAGCACAGACATTTATCTACTTTGTTCCTGTAGCTGTTTTGCCTCCATGCCTGCTCATGCCCTCATTCTGTTCATTGCACAGTAAAAATAATAACAGTCATAATAATATCTTTCTTTCCCTTATTCATTTCACTCTACCCATAGAAGCTAGTTTTCCACAAAATTAGCATTAGAATGCACCTTCAAAGCTCCCTAGTCAGTTCTGTTCACATGAGACGATGTTAATCAGAAAATAACTGGAGAAGACATCTTCAAACTCACTTTCAACTTTTAACTACAATACCCTTTAAAGTATGTGCACTATAATATGACACCCTTTACTCCCCAGTTCACCCTCTTTCATTTGAATTTTACAATATTCCCTTGCACCCAAATCTCATGTGCCATTTAGCCTGCCATCACTACTTGCAAAACCTCTGTCCATTCTGAATCAAGGCAAAATTGCAGCACTGATTTCTAGTCCTTCAAAGCTACCCAGAACATATGATACCAAGAATTTCTTGATACCAATACCAAGGATTTCTGTCTTTTTTCGTGTAGAAGTAACAGGCTTCCATCTATAGTGATATTTGTATTCCCTACTGAAGTTTGCTTTAACTCTCTTACATTATGGACAGTAAAGAAGAGTTACCCAAATCAAATTAACTAGGTACATATAGAATAAAAATAATTATTAATGTGTTCAGACTTTGGAAAACAGTAGAAAGGTACTCAAGTAAGATCTTAATGCAGAAGTTACCTTCTGAGAACGGTTTCCTCAGACTGCTAGCACATAATGCTACATTCAGTGAGCTACAGTCTAAGAAAGCTTATTTAAAAAGCTGTAAGACAAAAACACTTACAGAAAAGCAGTTTTAACATTTTGCCTTTTACTTCAAGTAATATGAGACAATGATACAATTACATCATTGAAATATGCATCTGAGATGTTAAATGACTTAAATTCAAGCTTTGGCCTTTTTTGTACAGGAGAGTAACTTTCCAGAAATATCATGAAAATATAGGTAATCCTAAGATTCACTGTGGATTTGACAGTGTGAAACTATGCAAAATATTTCATACCTCTTAGACTTCTCTTCAGAGAGTCACTGAACATTCACTACATATTTATCAGAAACAGTTCATACTAATTTGCAATCAATATCAACTTATCAGCTAAATTCCATGTACAAAACCAATAGGACTTGGATACTGTCTGTATGCTACACTGCAAACAGAGTTCTGCAGTGACCAGTTCAGTTATGTCCAACATCAACAGCCACAAGTGAACTGCCTCAGTGTTCAGCACGCCACCAGAGGTTATTGCAACATTTAGCCTCATTATCTTGTAGAAGACCCACTCTCCAAAACAGCCCATTGCACAGTCACAAGCTGGTGTGGAGCTTTTTCAGGCAAGGCAAAAGTACTGTTTCACGACAGCAAACTAGTTAAGAGTCCCCCAAAAGAGTCTGAAAGCCTATATCATATTTCACATGGCTCCCATTTTTAGTCCTTTTAAGGGGACTTACTATTTAGAGTAGTTATATTTAGCCTTACAGCCAGAGTGATAGAATTTTAAGCAAGCTCACACTTCTATGTTTTGAGATATGAGTAGTTTGTAACACAAGCTAAGGCAAAAATTAATTAGCATTTAGATTCAACTCTTGACATAGCACACACTTTACATTCAATGTTGATGGGCCACAGAAGACTGAAAAATCTCTCCCATAGGTTTCAATACAGCTAGTATATTCCAACTAACATTTCAACTCCAGTCACTCCCTTTAAAAGGTCATTTTCAGATATTGAGACTGCTTAGCAAGAGGTAGTAAGTCTAAGAACTACAGATCTCAATTAACATGCAGGTCATAAGCACAGTCTTTAGTTATATATTTAAAAGTCTGGTTTTAACCACTGTCAAAAGCAAGACACCAATCAAGACAGACTGCACTCATGGGACATAAAACAGCATTGTTATGCTTTGCATCTCAGCCACTTTAGAGACAAAAAACTACTTTAAAGTTTGACTTACCTATCAAAAACAGCTGCTTAAATCTTGTGTACGCAGTCTGGATGTCTTGCAGAGACGGAAGGCTGCTTGACAAGTCATCTGTCTTCAGGAGTTCGTAGGGAGGTTTGTTAATTGTCTTATAGATTCTAAATCAAATAATCAAGAGATTAAAGCCTTCTGCTTCACAAGTCAAGTAACACATCAATTATCATTGAAGAAAAAGTTAATAGGCATGGTTTGGGAAACAGATATAAGACCAGAAAAGGCACACCCTGGAAAGCTAATGCCCTCTATGCATTTTTAAGTACTGGCTGGAAGCTTGTCTACAAGCTTATGACAAGTTTTCTTGCTCGTAACTGTTATATCAATAAAATTTTATTTGTGCAGTTATGAATATTACAAGTATTATTTGATTTTTACTACTGCTTCTTTAGTATTGCCTTCACTAGACACACCAAAATTACTTTACTAGAGGGCTATTTAGAGGTGAATCCAGAAAGAAGAGATGGATAAAACAGCCAAACCTCCCAGAAGAATATTTTTCTTTACTTTTACCAACCAAATTGCATTCTGATAACTAGCTGCCAGGTCTGTTAATGAAACATATGAGAAAAAAGAAACAATTTGGAATCAAAGACGACAGTATACCTGACTTCTACTTCCCTACATAACTGTTGGGGTTTTTTTTCCTAGAACATGAAAAAATATCAGGCCAGATGACGCTTTGGTTTGGACCCAGAACATCCCCACTCATCCAGAACATCTCCACTCATTCAGGCTCCAGAGCTCAGATGAACATCAGCTTAGTAAATCTCTGTTGTCACGCTGGCTTCTTACTATCAAGATCTGGGAAAAGCTGCTCTAGCTCATACCAGAAGTGAAGCCTTGCAGGCACTTGACCAGACAGGACAGAGTACTTTGTGTTTCCTGTATGTTGCAGCACAAAAGCCTGCTTCAAGTGAGAACCACAGGTGTTCACTTTAGAAATGCAGGTTACTAGACCTATCAGAAGAGGTATCAGGTAAGTGAACTGAGGGAAAGCAATCATTTGTTAATTATGATACTTCCTCCAAATTGAATTAAACAATTTGCATTAGAAGATCTGGCTTTGAACACCTTTTTCAATAAAAGCTGTAAATCTTAAACACCTACTGTGTGCTTGAGTCCAAACTAGTATTACAATGGCATGCTAACACACCCTTATGGACAGCTTGTGGATACATTTTTAAATATTAGTGGTTAACCACCAGTATTCCACAGCAAAAAACCCCACCAATACTGCCCCAAGTTTGGATGGCCCCAGACAAGGGATCAAAAATACCAGCTGATACTCTCTTACAGCTTATTGCTTGTTTCACGTACTTTTGCTTTATAAAACAGCATTAAAAGAGCTATAAGCCATGCAAACTTCCACATTTCAGGGGAGAAACATTAAAGATATCTGCAGAAAAGGTCAAAAGTTTTTCCCATGCAAGCTTTTTTCTGTTAGTTCTGTGTGGAATGCAGGATCTCCATCTATGAGGAGAAAGGCACTAGCAGAGAAGCAGTACAAGCTGTACATACGAACCTGATCTAATAGCATGCTGCTAAGAGAGAAATTTTCTCCAGGACATCCAAGAGGTTAAAAAAAAGCGAAAAAAAAGAGCAACAAGTCATTGCCTATCAGCCAGGCAGCTGTGCTCTTCCCTTTATGTTAATTTGGCATTTTTCAGAATGCTTAGCTAATTCAGCTCACTAACTCAGCTGAACCAAAGTGCTGTCTACCATCACACCCGAAAGCAGCACTAATGAACTGCTAGAGTCTCATTTTAGGTCACTTCCTCTGAAGTGATTTAAGAACACAAATCTAGTTCTGAGAAGACAACAAAGTTCATAGAAATTTAAAGCTCAGCTTGCAAATTCAAGTTTAGAGATGGAGTCTAGAGTTCTCTTAATTGCAAACAAAATTAAGCCCATCAGCTAATGATACTTGAACCATGAGACCAACAGGCTTTGGTGCTGCTTTACCTGATAACAAGCCAGTTTGTACAAAGCTTCATCTGACACATGCTTATTTCTGCAAGTAGGCCTTCAGTGATGCTACAGTCCTGCACAATTGACCAATGTTGTTAGGCCAAGGGCTTAAACCCATTTTACTACAGAAAACTTCTGTTAGATCTAGAACTTGTTTCCTGATGCGTGCAAGCTTAAAGATACAGCATAAATGGAAAAAAAAGAGAAGCAAGGTCCATACCAAGCAAAGTGTTGTGGACAGAATAGCTATTACTGACCCATCCAAGAAGGCTTTTTGTGTTTGTGAAGTGCTGTCATCCTGTTCCTTGGGAAATGCAGACATTTTGAGAAGAGCAGCACCATTATGGCAAGACCAACACCAAATCTGCAAAAAGAAATTACGAGTTGTTAAAAGTTGGTAAACTCTCCCATACGAAGTATCTGCTTAATCAACTGAGTGATTACAGGAAATTTCTCTATGCTGTGTTTCACTGAATTTTTGGTGCATTCAACAAACCCATCAGTAAAGGCAAAATTCTACAACTGCACCAAAACTACATGGCTCAGTACACTGTATTATTACATGCAAGTTTTAAGTTAAGGTTTATACAGAAAAATATAAAATGTCAGATTATATCAGAACATTACTTTCCCAGCTGCGCACATAGGTGAAAAAAATTGACCGAGATGTCTACGGCCAAATTATGTTAGAAGATATGCCACAGCAACACGGCTCTTGTAACTCCATATATATTAGCCATCAGTTTCTCCACAGAGATACAGTAGTGTTTTTCTTATAGTTCAGCCTTGAGATAACTGTCATGGCTTTCCATGTGAGCTACACATAAAAGGTAATCTAGACATATGAAAAAAGATATTAAAACAAGAACTTCACAACTAAAATCAGATCGTGTAGTTACAGGTATTTCTTGTAGCAAGTCAGACCTCAGGGCTTCTTACTTACATGTAATTTCTTGTATCTACTGCTTGAAGCTCTCAAGCTGGTCCTTAAACTTGAAAATTATTCTGACTCCCAGTTTCAAAGCATCAGGACTATTACCCAAATCAAACAAGGAAGTTAAGAGTTCTGCTACTAATTTACAGTAGCCAAGACGTGTACCTCAGAAGGATGCAGAAACCTCAGTCCTCAAGAGTGGAGAAAAAAGCAACTATATTGTTCTTTCACTGCCATCTCAAAATTATTTAATATGGTCAAGCTGTTTTGACAGTACCTCCCCAAAAAGGATCTGGAAATAATTAGAGTTCTACAAGGCCTCTGAACAATGCAACAAGCAATTTAAAAAGAAAAAAAATCACTTCTGTTGTTGCACAAGAGACTGTAATTTGTCCAGCTGATTATCTGAGAAAAAGTGAATCAAACTATTTTGAACTTCACTACCTGAAAGAACAAATTGGGCAGGTCAGGACAGCACATTACCATCTTCTCCACTGACTGATAACTTAAGTACATGAAGTGAATACGGTTTTCCTTGGCAAACCTGATGGTCATGCAGAAACTAAGGTAGTACCTCATAAGTGAGGTTACTTTGCTTTTTGTTTTTATCTGCTCTTACTGGATCTTAAACTCTGGTACGAGGTAGGAAGCCAAAGGCAGCTTGCTACAGGGCACCAAACAGTCTGTTTAACTTCATTTTCTGTTGAGACTAGTAGAACTAGTTTTTCAGCTAGGCTACTTCACTTTCTGAAAATGCTGCATCATCACAGCCATATTACTTGACAGTACCCCCAAATTAGGCAACTGGAGGTATTCAGCTGTACCTGTACACTCATGGTTTTCACCTCAACATCCAAATAGCATTTCAAAGCCCTACATCCTGCTCCAGCTAGATGCCGGTCAGCAGTCAGCCTCATGAAAAACAGGCTGGTGAATAGACAGACTAATTGTACACGAAGACTACAGGACATTAGACATCTGATAGAAGTAAATGGGGGCTGTGAACCCAGAAGAATACTTTGTGGACCTTTCCTTCCAGCATCTATTTCTCGTGCTATAGATGACTAGGTGTAAGTGTGAGCAATAAAAACAAGTTCTAAAAATAACATGCAGTAACATCCGAAATTCTCATTGAAATTATGTCTTCTCAGAAAGACTTCTTACTCAGCCATGCATGTATACTTACAGGGATGCCTCTGCCTTCATACTTCAAGATACTCTCTTCAGAAACACATATGGGAACAACAAAATACAAAGGCAGCCTAAGATAACAAAAAAAGGTTTCTTGCACTTAAAAACTGAACAAAGAACAATCTCCAAGCTCCTATTAATAAGAGTGAGTATTCTAGCCCACGTGCTAATTATATATTCACTCTCACACCTACAATCTTTCCTACTAGATTAATTATATTGTCCTCAACACCCTCCCTTTATTTTCAGCTAGATAAGAAATTTTCTTCCAATCTTCAGATGTAAATTATTTCCACTGCAACATACTCTTGCCTTTCCAGGGCTGCAATTAAGTCCTACATTTAATCATAACATCCAAGACTGATTGTTAAGACCACCCTGGTTCTCTCACTCATGGCTGTTTCAAAAGATACTCTTGTACTGTCAGATAACTAGTTCTGTTTCCATGCCTCATAAGCAGTTCACATCACGATTCAAGGATGTCATTTAATATATCATGAATTTCCAGTATCAATCAGTACTATTTATGTTCAAGGCCCACAGAAGCAACAAAGATAAGTACTTAACCTGAGCTTGGCTCTCTAAAGACAGAGTTCTAGAATAAACAGTTAAGACTTCTTTGAAAATTTGTACCCTTTTACAAGGTTTGTGAAACCTTTCAGGATCTGACTATTAAACAAAGCCTTTTATGTACGTATGTACAAAAGCCTTGCATGCATCCTAAAGGGTCCACCAATAGGTGCTACTTAGCTCAACTGGTAGAAATATACGTCCCTTCCAATAAAGGCAATGAAATTTAACTGTCAACAGCACGTTTTGCAGATTTACTTTACACCAGTTACTCTTTTTTCCCCACTCAGTCTGCCAAATAAAACTAGAAACAAACATGAAGTGCACGTAACTTTAAATTTTACCAGAGTGAAGATGCAAGACTGAGAAAATGTCATCCAAACCAGTAAGCAGGATTAAACTGTAGGTACCATATTTCATACTCCATTTTAAAGCAGTATTCTCCACTCCTAGGCCTATTCAAAGCTTGACTGACCAAGGTCCTGAGTAGCCTGACCTAATGTTGAAGTTAACCCTGCTTGTTGTGTAAGATGACCTCCTGAGGTCTCAAATCAAAGTACCCCATAAAACAAGGGAAACCAGATCCTAAAGAACCCCTAAATTGTATAATGCTCAGCAACAAAGGGAGCATTGAGTTTTGCAAATCTTAATGAGATCTATTCAGCAGTCACTATTAACCAGGGCAAGCTTACTTTTCGGAGACTCTGTAGCCTTCATTGGTAGTCACTGCTTTGTATTTCACATTCCCTTTGGTCCGCTCCAGCTCACTACGCCAGTCCTCAAGGGTATCAAACATCACAGTTTGGTTTCTCCTGTCTGTCAGACATCAATAAAGTTAACTTGGCAGGCTATGAGGTGCTCTAACATGAAAGCATTCCTAAAACAAGTAGTTAGTTTCCATTAAAGTAACCAAGCAAAACATCTGGTGTACAGAAAGCCTAAGTAAAAGATACAATGCTTTTGTACAACACACTGCTTCTGTCTGATCTTTAACAACATCTTCTGTCATATACTGCTTTAACTAGTAACTTCAGCAATAGTTACTCCTACACTAATCATTTTTATAGAACTTCCATACAGTTGAGGTTGTCCTCACATCCAGTCTAAAACCCAAGATGCTCTGCAGCAAATACCACTGTATACTAGTGCATCTGACTGGCATCTAATAATAAAGGCTTAGCTGCAAAATTAACAATCATACCAAATGCCTTTCTGCAATTCAGATATTGCATTTCATTTAAAGTTCATTCTTTTATCATGGATAGGAGTTTTGCACTGAATAGAACACTTCAGGCACTCAATAAGAGCAAAAAATCTGATTACAGCAGAAAACTGATTGCAGCAACTCAGTCCGAATAATTTCAGCTGAGAACTTTTCCCCGTATTTCTATTTAGCCACCTCAGCAACAGTCATGACAACAGGTTGATTTAGCTTTCAGTCTTCTATAATAACCATATAATTTAGGGAGTAATGCCAACTGTCTTAGGCACCCATCAAAATTAAGTATCCTGCAACATCAGCTAATACTGAAATTCCACACAGAGCTGGAATTTCCACAGAAGATACGATGGCAAGTTAAAACACTCCACCATAAGATAAGGTAAATGAAAAATTCACAGTAGGAAACAGAACATCCTTAATGAGCTCTAAGGGTCAAGTTAAGATTTTAAGAGTATCAGAGGCATAAAACCCAATTTCTAAAGTCTACTTGGTTTGCTCTAAAACAGCTTCACAAAGAATGAGAACTATACATTTATTATTTAAGACAGTTATTAAAATATTAAAGAATTCTGTTACAACACTTCAATATTGCTACAAAGATTAGGCTTCTCCCACATTTGCTTAGTCCCTATGGAAAAGCTTAGTCTTTTTGATGTTTGTAGCTCAAACTGAACACCCATTACAGATGAAGCCTGCAGGAACCACCTAAGCCAGCAACATGCCCTTGTAGCACAGGCACCCAACGTATCCTCTGGGTGCATTACGAAAAACACTGCCTCCAAGTTGAATAAAGTGGTTGCTGTTCTCAGCTCAGCACCAGCGAGGACATGCCTGGAGTGCTGGGCTCCCCGGTACAAGACAGGCACAGCCCTGCTGGACCAAGTCCAGTGAAGGCCCATTAAGATCACTGAAGAGCTTAAAGCACCTCATACAAGAGCTGGGATCATTCAGCCTGAGTAAGAGAAGGTTTGGCAGGGGAGCAGAGGGGCAAGAAATCTTCCCAGTGTGTATAAACACTGACAACTTTTTATCTTGAATTTTGCATCTTACTATATTATTCAGCTAAGTTTGATCAAGTGGGGAAGACGATGTAGTAAGTTAGCCATAAGAGGAAGTTATATGGCTACTGGAACCTTGCTAGGCAAACCTATGCTTTTTTTGCTGTTGCCTAGGAGAAGCAGATCACTTGCAAATGAAAGCAAAAAGAGGAAATACTTTCTCTCAGATGCATTACTGAAAATGTAAAAATTCAAGAATTAAGAACAGGAAGTTTGGTTCACTGCAATAGTACAGAAAAAAACACATTGATAAAATAAGCAAAATATTTTCTACATGAGAGCACTCTAGCCAGAAGCACATGAAAAGCATTTACACATATTGATCACAGTAAGCTTTCAATCCAGTAATGCTACTCTTGCTTGGAAAACTTCTGTGCAACTAAATCAAGGGACACAGAAACCAACTGTAGACAATTCAGACTTTTTTAGCAGCAAGTCTAACTAGAGAAAAGTTAATCTTCTAAGTCTATCTGCAAGCAAGAAAATGTCATAATCAGAGCACAAACTCGGTTACTAAGTGTCCCAGACAGCTTAAGACACTAACACTATGCAACAAATACAATGCAAAATAGAAAACCATTTACCTGTGTTGTATGGGGCAGCTAATGCATAAGAGAACAGAAACAACCGTTTAAGCAGCTTAGGAGTCTGGCTATGATGAATTATACCACTGACGATCTAGGAAAGGACCAAAAATTAACACCCAAACACAGACTAAGACTGCCAGTGTAAAAAATGTGACTTTTTACCTCTGTTCAAAAAAACTGTTCAAAAGTGACTTTTAGAAGCTCTCTCTGTTGTCTGGAAGACACTGAACTTACTTGGCTTAATAAGAAATATTATACACGTTCAACTTCCAAAATTACTCGTATTATTTAAATAAAGGTAGTAGACTCCAAGTTTGGAGTTCAGATTAACCTGTAAAAAGAACTCAAGTTACCAGGAAAACAACTGTTTTCATATGAAAAATGTTGAAATCTGAAATGTAATAAAATCGTCTCACAAACAGAACAGCATTACAAGTTTGCCTGAGCTGAGGCTAATTTCACATATTACTTCCAAGCTCCAGTTTTCTTCAAAGAGCCAGTGCATCTGATCTTTTTAGCTGCTAAACATAACGACATTTAATGAGTAAGGTTAGCTAGAAATCAAAGCCTTTCACTTTCTCTCTCAACGAGGAATGATTAGAGAACACTTGAAGTTTAAGGGATCTCTCAGGATGAATTTCATCCTTCCCTCATCCCCAGAACTAAACACCCAGCACTAAGGTTAAAGAAAAACAAATACAGTCACTATACTTACTCTTTTCACTTCCTCTTCTTTTGTGTATCTCAGACAGAAATTAAATACTCTAAGGTCTTTACAGTAGATAATTAGCTTCTCTGGGTATTTCCTCAGTTGTCCAGTTAGAAGTTTCTTTTTCTCATCATAAACTGCAAAATTAAAAAGTCTAAGTAAGCATCAAAAAAACTTCAACATCAGTTGATAAAGCTACCTCTGCCTGACTTTTCAAAATTTCAAGAAACTAATTCAAGCCCAAGTTTTAGCAACTCAAAACAAAGATCTTCCAACAGACTGGCAAGCTGTCATTAAACTTTTTTTAAACTCACTCAAATTACTTTCAGTAAGGAAGAAACTAAACTTGCAGCAAGACAGCTGCTCAGTGATTACTTCTGTGTACAAAGAACATAATTTAATAGTTTTGCCGTAGGTAAGGTCCTCAAAAAACTGAGATAATTTTAAGTTCTTAAAAAAAGTAAGTAGTTTTTTTAACCACCCCAAATCCCCCAAGAGAGCCCTTTGTTCACTGCTGTTTGAAGATGTATCATTTCACAACTTGAAGTGGTGCCAGCCAGGCCATTGTATATGAACTAAGCAGCGTCTCACAACCAGCTTCCACTAGTCTCTCCCTAGTTCAATCCTTCAGAACCCACACCACCATGCATAAATACCCTGAACACTGACGCCAGTCCAAAGACAGGCTTCTTAATGAAGCTTTCCCCTCCTTAAAAAAATACCAGCCCCATTAACCTTTTTTAGCTATACAAACATACCTCTAAGACCCACTGCAAAACATTCATTTATTTACTTGTAAGATAAAGCCTTGGTTTCTGTCTCCTTTGATAGCTTGAAGACATCATGAATCTCAAAAAACAAAGTTCCCTTAGACAAACCAAAGGTATTGTTTGGGAGTTTGGTACCTGTACAGCTCTGCAGTGCTATTGCTCAAATGAAGTGAATATCTCTATATTTATAGAAATAGTTGATATACTGTAAGATCCTTGTGCATAAATCTTAATGAGAGACTTTTCACAGCACACTCTGCTTTGCTCTAAATCACAACATTTTGAAAGAATTGCTTTGTCTGCTCCAGCAAGATGATTGGTCAAAATGTAGCTTTGACAAGGTTGAGCAATAAGACTGGGTTCTGATAGATCTCTCATCTGTCATTTCATCATTGAATATAAACAGTCTTTTTTCCAGACCACCCAATCCTGGTTTCCAAAGTGACGACTTCATCAGTTTTCTAGGAAGGATGTATGTGTACAGAGTATCAGCACTATAAGACACTTAGAAGTGTGAAGCATGTTAAAACAAGAATAGAAAGCTGACTTGCCTCCATAGATTTGATCTACACATTGCAGGGTTATGTCATTTTCTCCCACAATCTTATTCTTAAATTGTGGCTCCTAGAACATGAGAAAAAACAAAAGTCAAACTACTAAGCAGTAACACCTTCTCACAAGTAAAGGATAAATACAGTACATATTTCAATATCAGTATTACTTCTTATTCTTCTCAGCTGTGTAAGGCAGAACATTGAACAGTTATTAAAATACAGGTTACACAGGCAGAGTTTATAAGTTGCAGATCCAGTTTTATTCAAGTCTCAGTGATGCTTGAAATAGAGGTTTTTACTTTTCAAATAGTTTCAAAGCATGCATTCCCATTGAGAGTCTCTTTTCAAGCTAGAATCATTGCTGTAAACAGGAAATACAGTAACTTAATGTAATCCAAGCTCTTTTATGACAAGTTTCCTTTCTACGGGAACCTGGCAGGAAATAGAGAGTCTCTCAGAAGACTAAGTATCCCAAGAATATTCCAACATAACAGCCAGATTTATCACACACAAGCCAATTCTCATATCTACTGTTTGCCCAAACTTGAAGTGATCTGAGGCTCATTCATTTTATCATTCCATGAGAGTTAAAAATCACATTTGAGTGACAGAGTCATGTTAAATATTATTACCAGCAGGCTGATGTACACATCAACAAATTACATTTTACATGAAGACAGCTATGAACAGAATTAATCTCATTTAAATTATTTCCAGGTCTGCACTTCTCTGAATCAGGCAGCTAATACTGAACTTTTATCAAGAGAATTTTGACTTCACAGACCATAAAACCAACATTTAAAGTAAGTAATGGAACAGAAATTAGTATGGTCACTACCAACTTTAGCATAAATCTCATGTGATCTGTGGAAAGGACCCTGCAGATTTGTTCCAATTAAGTCGAGAAAGTCCAAAAATCCATGTTTGGCTGCAGAAGTATTAGTTTAATACTTAAACTCCCTGAAATTTTACCCCAAGAATCTTCCTACTATGATCAACGTGTGTCAAATCATACTCCCCTTGTCCTTTGTCACTGTCAAGATTACCTTGCACTTGAGAGCCATATACTAGGCTCTCCTTCACTTTTATCACATAAATGGACCAGACTGTTTCAGATGCTTAAGCACACCAAAGAAAGTGTGGCATTACCATTCTCCTTTGGCAGCTGAATTTCCTAAAACAAAGGAAACAAGATTCAACTAATTTCTAAAATTCGAGGACTTTTTAGCTTTTTAAATATTTGCCACCTCAGTAGCATCAGGTTCGTAAATCTTTGCAGTCAACATCTGACTCTGAATGGACTAATTCAGAGCTTTACTGAGCCACACAATTACCTAGAGTATTTCCAATAAGTATCAGATTATTCAGTCTTGTGCAGCCCTGCAATGGTTCTGCAGATGTAGCTCAAAGTCAAGTCAGACAGATGTTATATAACCTCAGAAGAACATTTGACATTCACACTTCCACCACTGCTACTACATAGGCAGTCAGAAATCAGGCTTAAGCAAACTGCTGATTTAATTTTCAAATCAATCCATCATTCTTTTAACTTAAGCTGCACAAAATTACCAACTCACAAGATATGAAGAGTTATAAACTATGTCTAATGTAAGTGTCCACATACAGGCTTGCACCATTTTTACTTATAGTCATTAGAGCTTGAGGAAGAATCTGCACAGACCAAGCAGCTGCAGACTGATTGAAATTAGTCTGCACCCACTAAAACTTATTTAGAAATCTATATTCATTCTGTATCCTTCTGCAAGTTTTTTTTATTTAGTCAGAGCCACTATATTTCTTCAGAGCCTGTCTGGTCACAAATAGAAGACTTGTCTTCTTACATTATCATCTGAAGCAGAATCATCATCAAGGAAAGCAATCTTGAAGTTTGTGCAGATAAGCTTCCCACAGGTACCACGATTTGATCCATCTTCTTGTATATACTTGTATACTGTGTTTGCCTCACAAAGCAGCAGTTCTCCTGTACAAAAGAAACACTGACTTGCAACATAACTGACATTTATAACCGAATTATTAAAAGTGTTATTTTAAACTCAGCATTAACTTCCCGACAGCTTCTCATAACTGTATGCTTGAAGATATTTCATTGCTTTTACACAAAAAGACTAAGAGGCAGCTCCTGGAATCAGTACATGGAGAGCCTTTCAGGTTATTAATATTACTCACATGGACTGAATGCCGTTTAAACACATATGTCTAGGAGTTCTGCAACCAGAGATGGTAGAACAACAATGCGTGGAGTTGGAAAGAGCAACCATGTAAGTGGGTGTTTGAAAAAAGCGCCAAAACTCACTGATGACTAGTTAATATAGTCAATAAATAATTTGAGCAGTAACGAAAAACGGAGCAGTGTTCAACTCTAAGAATGCTGGAACATTTGACTTGATTACTACAAGTTCATCACAGTTAATGTTTCACAGCTCTGGAGATGCTGTTTATTTTACAGGTGCCAGGGCTATTTTAAAGTTCTCAAACACAAGTTTGCATAAATAATGGTCAGTGAAGTTCTAATCTTAAAATCAGAAGGAACCGAACTTCAAGTTTAAGAAAATAAAATGAGGTTTTAATAGGTATAACCAGCCAGACCCTTGGTCTTTCCTGTAAAGTGCAGAAAAAACAAGAGAACAATACTAGTTTATTCTAAGCTTTTACTTGTATTTTATCTTAGTAACATGTCCTGGTTTCACTGCGAGAGAGTCACAGAATCAGTTTTCTATACAGGAAAGCTGCACTTCTGCAAAGACTACAGTGCTCGATTTCATGGTAACAAAGTTGGTAAGACACTTTGTTTTAGTTTTTGGCCAACACTGGTATACAGTGATCGAGGTCTTCAGCAGGTTTTGAGTTTGCCAGGTGCAGAAGCTGGGGGTGCAAAAGCCAGGGCAGATGACCCAAGCTGGTCAACAGAATCATTCCATACCATAACCAGCAAGCTCACTATAAACTGGAGTTTGCTTGGGGTGGCTCTTTCCTTGAAGGTTATTTCCCCTGCAAGGCCTACTCCCCAGCTCATTGAGACCATTATATCCCAGGTGGGGAGGAGTCATGGGGTAATAGAACAACTGTCTAAATGATGGCATAACATTTTAAATTTTTTTTTAAAGAAAGAATTGTAAATTTAAAAATTCTTAACAGTGATTGAGGCATCAAAAGAGCTAAGTAACTCATAGTAGAAGCAAAGCAACTGGAAAGTAAGTTTGCACTTTTTCTTGGTCTTCAGTTCCCAAACTACCCACCTTTAATTTTAAGAAACAGGGCAAACTGAAGTACAGACAGCTCTCCACATGCTGAAGATACTGTATTCCATAAAATTGAATTTTTTATAGACTTTTTCAACAACTCATGCAGATACAAGTATTGAAAACATTTCAACCTGTGTGGGTTGAAAAACTCTCTATTTTACTACTTGAGACACATGACATCACATGAGTGCTGCAGACACGGGAATAGTTAAGATATTGTTTACATAAGTTTTGTTATTCAATTCTTATAATACAATATATAACAATTACCTGGTAAGAGGCAAGGATTTACTTCCTTTTCTATGGCTTCCTTTATGTGTATTTCCTGAGGAGAGAAAGAGTAAATTACTATCTTGCAAAGATTTACAGCATGTGTTGTAGTTACAATAACAGCATTGTCTCTCTTAAATTCCTTGCATTCCAACAAACAGGCAAATTAAAGTTAAGAAAAAAACTTCCTAAATTAGAGAATAGGTTTGTAATGTCCTCTTTCCACTTCAAGTGGAAGTAGTCTACTAGCTAAATAATTAAGTCAGTGGCTTGACACCCACAGCGTCAGTTTACATGGCTGTGAACACAAAAAAGGAAATGCATTATTTGCATAATTAGCAGACAGAAATAAAGCATTACCAATACTTTGCAAGTTCTCAACACATGTAAATGATAAACATAAACTTAGTATTACAGCACCATCTCTGAGTTCATTCATAACTTTTTCCACATATGACTTAACGTATGCTTCTAATGTATTCTTCAGTTTTTCAAGCTTCACACTTCGCTATCTATCTCTGATTTTCTTACATGTGCTACTCCAATCAAAGTATGAAAGTTACTTAAACAGTATGACCAAGATTATAGGGATTTAAAGAGGTTTCAGAACCTCAGAGTCAAGAGGTAAAACCAGTCACAGGATATCCTTTAGTTTGGACCCAAACGATACACAAAAACAAACCTATTAAATTCTCATTATCATGTATCCTAGCCTTGAGGCACTGATAGTTAGGCTAAAATCTCTAGCCTCAAGACTATTAAGCTAGAGGACATGCTACACCCTTCCTGCTCAGCCAGTTCAGAACTTCCTCCTCTGAGCCCTGATCACTTCACATGCATTAGAGTCCTGCTGGAAAACGATTAGTTAATTGGAAACACCCCCAGAGGGCCACAGTGGTAAGCAAGCTAATTTTAGTTTGTCACCAGCATCCAGAGTCAGATATTGCAAATCAAGGCAAGCAATCAAAAGGAGACATAAGCAGCAACAGTTTTGATGAACTAAATACAGAGAAACAAAAGCCCCTGAGAGCGTAACAGTAGTCCCCCTTTGCTATTCATGTAAACACTTGCTCTCAACACTCAGAAGACCTGAAGCAAAGCTCAAAGGCTGCACAGCAAAACTAAAACCCAACAGGCAACCACGTTATGAGAACAGGAGAGCAGTTCAAGATAGGTTGAAAAGAGGCGAAGGTTACAAAATGAAAGTGGTGATGTGAAGAAAGGAATCTGTAACTGCAGCTGGCAGACAATGCAGAAAGCAAAACACAATTTGCTGCCTTCGACTTCCAAGTGCGGATTTTATATAAGTAAGTTTTAATCAAAGTTCACACTGTGATTAAAGTTCAGCTAAATAAGTTACTATGCAAACATAGCTCCAGCTGAACACTGCTGCATTCAAGGAAGAAATACATACACATTTTCCCAATGTTGTCTCTTCAGCACTGGTAGCTCTAAGCCAAACTTTGGATTTACTAGTGCCTTTATAGCTATGCCTTCTACTATTTGTGTGCAACTAAGGAGAACGCTGTTTGCTCACAAACTATATGCCAACAATAACTGCTACAGAACAGTACAGTAGTATACTAACTAGGTGTTTTCCCCATAACTTTTACTTTGGGACTTATCATAAGGCATGTAATAATTACTATTTGTGTATACACACTGCTTGAATGTTCAAACATACTGCTTTGAGTACTAGTTTATCCTGGTGTTGGCAGATAAGACCTGAGAAAAAAAAAAAGAAAAACCCAAAGAAGTTCTTTTGAGCTTACATCCATTTTTAAAATGCAGTGAAGCTTTTGTAATAGGTATCACAGAGGCAAATAACTTTGGCTAAGTGGTTTGGGTTTTGATTACAAGTTAAACTGGTTATCTTCTGAAAGGAATTCAAATTTTCATTAAATAGCATCACAGCAGAATGCAGACCTCAAGCACCAAGACTGGCTTGTAAAATCCAGTTTCACTGTTGACAAAAACACAGACACTGAGTTGTACTATAGGCAGAATTGCTGCAACATTCACAGCTTCCAAGACCTGAGCCTCCAGAAGAGTTCTATTTGAAAGTCAACCTTTATATTCCCATAATAATATCACAAGGAGTTTAGAGGCAGGTTTTCACACATATGTACTAGGCATAGCTAGAATGCAAGTCATAAACATTGCTGGAGAATTCATGTTGCTGTGTTCATTTTCCAAGGGGGGATATTAAAATACATCAAATTCTAGTAAAGTCACATTTTGTATTTGCTCTTTTAAGACAGAAGGCAGATATCTTTACAAAAAAAAGTTGTTAACTCACCGTGAGTCAGTGCAAGTTGAGTAGGAACCCATATGTTTACCTGACATCTCCACTCTTTCAACTTTGTTTTTCTACTGCATTTCAGTTTTGGGACAACACAGATCTTGGGACTACATAAAGAGCCTGCTGACACTAACATGCATGCTCCTCAACATCCCTTGAACCTGTCACACAGCTCATACCCACCCACCTCTCTCATCCCAGGGTTTGTCTGACTGCCTGGTGAGGTTACCTGGTTTGTAAGAGCAGCTGGAAAGTCTGTACTTGTGCTACACCAGTTGTGTTGTTATTGCTGCCTATTGTGAGCAGAACTGGCTCATCAGCAGGTCAGATGAGCACAGCAACAAAAGAAAGGGAAGCTGCAAAAGCGAGCCTGCCCCTTCCCACAAGCTAAATCCACTCATACCTCAGGAAATTTCACCCCCTGACCATTTGTTGAAGTCAAGCATGCAAGCACTTTCCATATATGACCACTGAAAGCCACGCACACATCTAAGTAAGATACTGTATCATCTGTAGCTTCCTCGTTCCAAATGCCCCAAGCAGCATCTTAGCACTTCTTACTCAAGGTATAACACAGTAAACCCTACTACCAGCAAAAGCTGAAAGCAGATACCCACAGTACACCACACAATGAAAAATAACTTTGGACTGCCTCAAAACTGATAGAAATAAAAACCTCAACTTTGCTGAAGGTTTTGGAAACCTCTTACTCAGAGATTCATCTCACCTGCACACTTACCTTGTGCTACATTCCAGGTTATCAGACTAAACAGTAATGGGCAACACAGCAAGACCCCATAATTATAAGTTACAACAGTACGCAGCAGCAAACCATACCAAAGCTGCAGGCTGACAACACATCACACCATACTAATTCATAATGCATCATCTTCTTGTTAGTTCAAACCAACTTCAGCTGACAGCACCATAAAACCATGAAGTGCTAGGAAAAGGAGAATCCGTGCTCCTTGCAAATCCTTTGCTTCAATAGTGGGGAGACAACACAACAAAGAAACTGTTTTTCTTAAGGCAAGGCTTACCTCTCCTTTTCTTCTTGGTTTTAATCCAAATATAGGGAAAAACTGCACAGTTTGCAGTATCAAGAGAATACAGTCAACTCTCACCTCAAAATAGATTTAAAGGTCCTAAAATATACTCCCCAAGGCTGTCTAGGGAGACATGTCTTCCTCAAGTGCTGAAGCATAAAGGGGCCACCAAGTGTGAGGCAACATTGAGCTTAAGGCAGTAAGGTCCAGAAGCAGTTATGCTATATTAACAGAATCCTAACAGTTGGGGCAGGAGAGGGATCTCAAATGATCCCTGCTCTTTGTCCTGGAGTATCACCACAACTGAGAGCAACTCCCCACTTCCCACTCCACAAGGAGGTAAACAACTGTGGACAGAAAGTGAATTAAAAGTGAAAAGCATTCCCTGCATGCTAGAATCTAGATTACTCTGATCTTGTCAGAGAATTTGGATTTTATTTTAATCAGTATTGCACAGTATGTATATAGGCCTATTGATACTGGACGTTACTCCATCACTTCAGCAGAGAGACCGTGCATACAGTCTGCTGCTGCAATATACATGCTGTAAACTCTGAACCTATATTACTTCACAGTAATATTTCTGCTTATCCATAGCTGGACATTCATGCTAGAGGTAATTCCAACAATGGAAAACAAGATTTTTTAGAAAACATACTGGGAAAAACGTTGTTCATTAGATTCAAGTAATGAAGGAACCGGTTGTTTCCAGGGTTTCAAGAGCACTGGCTGAAACAAATTCTTTCAAGGTCAACAGTAAATAGGAGTGCTGTGAGAACACAGTATATTTTAATGTTCACAGAATCACAGAATACTAGGAGTTGGAAGGCCCCTCGAAAGACCATCCAGTCCAACCCCCCTGCCAGAGCAGGATCACCTAGACCAGGTCACACAGGAATGCATCCAGGCAGGTTTTGAATGTCTCCAGAGAAGGAGACTCCACAACCTGTCTGGGCAGCCTGGTCCAGGGCTCTGTCACACTCACAGTAAAGAAGTTTTTCCTTATGTTCAGGTTGAACCTCCTATGCTCCACCTTGCACCCATTGCCCCTTGTCCTGTCACTGGACATCACTGAGAAAAGCCTGGCTCCTTCCTCCTGACACTCGCCCTTTACAAATTTATAACCATGAATGAGGTCACCCCTCAGTCTCCTCTTCTCGAGGCTAAAGAGACCCAGCTCCCTCAGCCGCTCCTCAGAAGGGAGATGCTCCACTCCCTCCATCATCTTTGTGGCTCTGCGCTGGACTCTTTCAAGCAATTCCCCGAGGGGGAAATTGGGGGAACCCCCCCCCGAGGGGGTTTTCTGAGGGGCCCAGAACTGAACACAATATTCCAGATGCGGTCTCACCAGGGCAGAGTAGAGGGGAAGGAGAACCTCTCTCGACCTACAACCACCTCCCTTCTGATACACCCCAGGATGCCATTGGCCTTCTTGGGTGTTGTTACATACTTTTCTATAAGTAATCTCTCCACAGGAAAGCACTATATTACAGTGAGGCTTACTGTCAATGTCCCTTTTTTCTTCTTTACTTTTAATTCACTAAAATACTAACAGAAGGCAGAGATAGCTTTTTAAACTATACATTTATCAATTGCAAAAGTCTGAGATATTTCCAAGTTTGTTGTGGTACTTCAACAAGTGAACATAGTATTGCTGAGTAAAATAAATCAAACGTACATCTAACAGTTCTGCTGCAATTTTATGCAAAAGAGGAAATACCTGTGCACATGTTT